GGGCAACAATCGGCGGCCATCGCTCCCTCGTGCTACCTGATCTCCTCAGCACCGCGATCCCCCTCAGCAGCGAGGGCTCTCCGACAGCGTGTCCCTCCTTCCTCCCGGGTTTCGGCACCAATGTAACGGGGTTCAGATGTTATGGGAAGAAGGAGGCGGGAACCGGTGAACATTCAACACTTTAATAATAAAATAAACAAATACAAAATGAAAGTAAAGCCAGCAGCCCCTCACGGACGACTGCTGGCCACAGAAACAAAACACAACATAAAATCAACCCTGTTCCTCTCTCGATCTTCACTCTTCGTCGCTCCTCCTTTATGCTTCCGCTCCTCCATGAGAGATGCGAGACCGGTGCGTCTCACAGGTGTCGCTCATTACCACTCACGCCACCGGCCTCGCGCCGCTCTCACGTCACTCGGCCTCGTCCTGCTCGCCACAGAGTTGTATTAAAAAATATCCTGACTCTTCCAAGCTTAATAATGGGAGTGAATGGTTTTTTTTGTTTTCGTTTTTTGAAGCCCAAAAAGGCACATCCATCCATTTACTGTGGCTTTTTGTACTGCACTTTGGTCAGTCTTGTGGCTGATTTTAAATTTAGTGTATTAATAAATGAACTTGAACTTGATGTAAATAGATATGCATTTTATTGTTTTATTAAGTTATATATTTTTTTTTTCCTGCAACTTGAGTTTTTGATCCAAACCAGATGTGGTTGAGCTTCAGCTGAGGTTATCGGGTGGAAAACAACCGCTGTTGGCTGAATTCGCCCTTTTCTTGCAGATCTCAAATCTTTTTCATCCGTTAAAAACACTACCATGAAAAGTTTGGACACACTTGACTGAATTTGTTTTTATGATCTGCAAAGCATGATCTATATATGTAATTTATTATTATTTTATTAGTGTTTTATTCAGTTGTTTGAGATCATTTTTTAATGTATTTGGTTTCTACATAATTCCCATGCTAAATTTGTGATATTTACTATTATGTGAAAAATACATTAATAGTCATGAAAAAAAACTAGAAGTTAGTCCAAACTTTTGACTAGTATATCTACACACAACTGACTAGTAACAAGGACGTGGAAAAAAAAGAAGACAGAGATTTGCAGGAATGTACTATGGGATCTGTTGTAAAAATGTTCTCAAGATAGATTGCCGAATGCCTTCAGATTGTTCCTTCACGGTGTCCTCAGTAAACCCTTCGAGTGAATGCAGAACATGGAGACGGAAAAAAGCTGCTGTGCAACAATGACTGCAAACTTTATGAAACTGTCTTTCCAGTGTTTGAGTTTTCAGGACGAGCGCCAAGTTTCAAAGGAAAGAGGGGGAAAATAAAGAATCAGTTGTATAGAGAAGCAATGGGAGAGCGAAATACACTGAGAGATGTGCATGAAAAGAAAACAAGCACAAAGAGACGAGTCTTCAGATGGTACTCCGTGTATTGCAGGCAGCATGAGAAACTCTGTTGCATGTTAGGACCTGCTAGAGGAAAACAGTCATGATGTCATACCTCATGTGATTGGCCTGAAACACTTGTACACGAGAGGATAGAAGGACGAATGAAAGATTTCAGATGTTCCCTCTTGAGTGATGTCTTCGATATAAAAATAATTCCTCAGCAACCACAGTAAATGTTGGAAGGTCCAGATGATCAGAACTCCAGTTACTGGATCAGAAATGTAATTCATGAGGAGTGTTGAAGCTCTATTTCCCGCGAAGGGAGTTTCGGAACAAACAATCATGGACAATAGACTAATACAACGTTATTGCGGCAGTGGCTCAGTGGTTCATGTAGGTTGTCTACAAACCGGAAGGTTGGTGGTTCAATCCCCGGTTCCACCTGACCAAGTGTTGAGGTGTCCATGAGCAAGACACCTAACGTCAGCTGCTCCCGACGAGCTGGATGGCGCCTTGTATGGCTGACACCGCCGTCGGTGTATGAGTGAGTGGGTGAATGTGAGGCAAATTGTAAAGCGCTTTGGTGGCCATTAGGTCTGTGAAAGCGCTATATACTGTAAATACAGTCCATTTTACCATTTTGCCATTTTGGTCTGTTGCTACTGGTAGTTTAGCTATGCAAAAGAGACTTTGTTGTGATGCCGGGCTTTGATCCACTATGACCTTGCTTTATTGTCTAATTTTGTTCAGTTGTTTAAAGCAGGACTCGAATATATTTACTTGGTCTGGAGATTTTTTCACTGGCCTTATTATTAGGCTATATGTTTTATTTATTTATTACTCATTTATTAACTTTTATATAGACTTTTTAAGACAAAAAAAATTGTTATTATTATTTGTTTATTTAGTGTCCAGTTGTCACGTACATACAGTGGTGTGAATAAGTTATTACCCCCATGCTAAAGTTGCCTAAAAAGAGGAATAAAAAATCATCTTTTGGAAATTGATCTTAATGCCTTAATTAGAAAAATGAGGAAAAATCCAACCTTTAAGGACACCAATTTTCTTTGTGTATGAATAATGTATCATAAATAAATGTTCTTCCTTAAAATACAGGGTGCATAAGTCAGGCCCCCCCCCCTATGTTAAATTCCCATAGAGTCAGGCAGATTTTTATTTTTAAAGGCCAGTTATTTCATGGATCCAGGATAATATGCATCCTGATTAAGTTCCCTTGGCCTTTGGAATTAAAATAGACCCACATAATCACATTCCCTTCACCATACCTAGAGATTGGCATGGGTTACTTTCCATAAGATCATCTTTCAATGCAAATCAAACCAGATATTAGGCTAACTGAAATAACACCATGCCAATCTCTAGGTATGGTGAAGGGAATGTGATGATGTGGGATATTTTAATTCCAAAGGCCAAGGGAACTTTATCAGGATGCATATTATCCTGGATCCACGAAATAACTGGCCTTTAAAAATAAAAATCTGCCTGACTCTATGGGAATTTCACATAGGGGGGGCCTGACTGATGCACCCTGTATTTTAAGGACGAACATTTATTTATTTTTTGATACATTATTCATACACAAAGAAAATTGGTGTCCTTAAAGGTTGGATTTTTCCTCATTTTTCTAATTAAGGCATTAAGATCAATTTCCAAAAGATGATTTTTTATTCCTCTTTTTAGGCAACTTTAGCATGGGGGTAATAACTTATTCACACCACTGTACATATCAATGTGCATAAAAAATAATCTACCGTTTATTTTTTCTTTATTATGTTTTTATTATTTAAAAAAATGTAATAGCTTTTTACGTGGACTTTTAATTTGCAATTATATGTGTAAATTATATAGATATCATATGTAACTCCATATAGAACTGTTGACAGGCATATTGAGATTCCAATTAAATTCTTCCAATTGATGTAATCATTTAATAGGAAACATTTCAATTAAATAATTACATCAATAATTATATTGATGCATTTAAACACTTTGTAATGCGGCAAAGAGGTGACAAATGCATTTACAAGGGAATAATAATCCAGGCAAACTGAGGGTACGTTTACACGACAATGATGTACTTAAAATGGTAACACTTTTTCTTTTTACAGATAACAACTTTATGAAAATGATCCCCATTCACACGGATCTGCGAAAACGACTAAAACGATGTATTCTGCTGCCAGGCCAGTAGTTGGCGATGTCACTTTGTAAAGAAAGACTGCGCACACACATACGCATTCCTTTACAGGGAGATGATAATGGTATCGTTTTCAAACACTTGCACTTTGAAACACGTTTTCAAAAGTTTCATTTTTAGGCCCCCAAAACGTAGTTGTGTAAATGAACGGCCAAAACACATAAAAAGTTTTCTTTTTTTGTTGAAAACGGTGTCGGGTATACAACCCCTGAATTGACATTAGCATGAATGCTGCATGATTAGACAAGTGATGGGTTGTTCAGTCAGGGGCCAACGGGACCTGAAAAACATCCATTTGGCGATCCAAAAATGGATAAATAGTTTTAGATAAGACTGAAGGTCGAAGTTTAATTTTGAAGACATTTGAGTAAATTTTGACTGTAAACTTAGTGACGCATCTAGCTCAGAGATCACCGATAAAGTCCATTCTAAAGAACAGAATCTCCTGAGAAATGAAATAGTAGGTGAATCAATGCGGCGCCAACAATGACGAGCCCTTCCATGTCATTCTAGAGAGCTGGAGCACAGGGCTGAAGGGGAAGGAAGGGGCTGAACGCGCTCTTTTGTCCCCACAGGCTCTTTTTTCAGAGGCTAGTTTTACTTTCTTTCTGGGAAAACATAATTAGGGTCCGGCTCGGATGGCTAGAGTTACCGCTCTTAGTCTTCTGGCCTGGCAGGCAATGAAAAGGCTGTATGAGTTTGAGTTACAGACATAGTTTTGATGGCCATGATTCCAGTAAGAGTCCTCAAGCTTAGATAATGGGTTTCATAATAGAGGCTATACTGTTGATATAGTACGGAATCAGTAAAACTGTTTTTTTTACATTTCTGATTTGACATTTAAAATGTTAAATCTACAAAGCCTGATGGTTACATGGACAGCAAAACAAATAAAAAATAAAAATTGTTGCTAAACATTTTGCATGTTACAAGCCAGCATTCAAAAGGAGCCAATGTGACTAAGCCATTGTTCAGCTACCGAAATAATGCAAAAAGACTGCCGTCTTTGTTTTAGTTTAGTATCAACTTGGTATCAAAATACTGAGGTTGAATATCTAGGAAATGTTCACATATCACACTGTCTCAAAGCTCCTGAGACTGCCTGAATCCCAATACATATTTATAGGTTGCTTTGTACCAAAACATATGACAAGCCAGTTGTGAATTGTTTTTATCCTTTGTGTATTATACACAGACACTCTTTCTGTGTAGGCTTTCATCTTCCTGAATTCTTTCTTTTGGACATTGTCCAAACAATAAGGTCACCTGCATTCCTTAAGATATGTAAACAACTAGATGCAACAAGAATAATGGCTGTCAAAAGAAGCATCACAGTCCATAACAAGCAGTTTAACCCAAATGATTTCCTTTTCCTCCAGACCCAAACCACCACCACCTGATGGTATCAAATCCAACCCCTCCAAGCGGCACAGAGACCGGCTGAACGGCGAATTGGACAAGCTGACCAACCTTCTACCCTTCTCAGAAGACATCCGTGCACGGCTGGACAAACTGTCAGTGCTTCGACTCAGTGTTGGATACCTGAAAGTTAAGAGCTTCTTCAATGGTGAGATCACGACTTATTTTAGGCAGTCCTAAATCCTGATATGCGTTTGTAAGAACCAACTGACTTAAAGTACAGTAATGAGAGGACAGGAAATGATGTGGAGAAGGGGCAAAAGGATCAGATGTCACAAGCAGGACTGAAACTTGTGCTGTTGCATGCATCACTGCTTAGTGAGTCAGAATATGTGTGCTAAATGTTAAGCTTCCACTCAGATAAATCACTGATTAATCATTGCAATGCTTTCCAATGAATTTTAGTTAAATTAATTCATTTTATAAGTTCACTGTCACAATCATTGAGGTCCTTTCTACCAGGTTAAAGGCAAATGTAGCCAGAGGAAGTGGCGTTTGTTGCACTTCCACATATCACCCTTGATTACATGATTCATGTTTTTCAGACCAAATGTGTGAAAATGCTTCTCAGAATTATTCCGTCTTAGTCTTTGTGGTATTCTAACTTTTATTAATTTATGTAGCATCTTGAGTAAAATTCTAATGAATTTCTTTGCTAACACAGTTTACCAAAAGGTCCATGTCACATGGATGATGTGCTAGAAACTTGTGACTTCAGCTGACATGTTTATTATCTCTGTGAAAACTTACAAGGCAGCTGAAAGATCACATGCTAGTCTTGTTTGGGGTCCTTAACTTTCTTGACATCATAAATTAGGCCGTTTTCTTTCTTTCATTTTAGTTTTTTTTCTGGCTTCTAGAATAATATGCATAGACCTTTGTGAGTTTCTGAGGGCTTCAGATCTTCAGCCAATAAATGCTTGTTTGTTTGCATATCTTTAGAAAAGGCTCACAAAAACATCTCAGAATGACCTTGACGTAGGGTCTTCTCATGGAATTAATCAAGTTTCTAAGAATAATATGCAGGGGAAACCTCTCAACGGAAGGATAAATCAGAAGTTCCCAGAACAAGACCATCCATAATGTCTGTCTAACAGACATTAGAGTTTATTTTCCATAGAAATTCATATTTAGAATTGTCGAGTTAGGCATTAAATGATTGATTTTGAATTGTAGTCTGGGTTGTGAAGTGGTGTTGAAGGTTTTTAACGAGTCTTATTTTACTTATTTTTGCTTTGTTTTGCTAGTCAAAAAATTCTAAATATACTTTAAACAAGATACAATTTTTTTGATCAATGATTCTCAGACATTTGAAATGAAACATGAGACAGAAATACTAGTTGAGAATAGGATATTTTGCCGTGGACAAAGCTGTTTTGCAGATGTAGTCAGTTATTGCGAGATGTAGATGGTAGGACGTCATAATTTTTATTTTTTTTGTAACAATTGTGGCATTTGAATTTGACTGGCTTGTCCACCTGTCAAAAATAAGTAATGCATTGTCTTCGGTGAACAGGTACACAGGAAGAAAAAAGCCCAGAGGACATGTGTTGCTGTCCTCTGCTATCATTTCTAGATGATTATAAAATGACGAGACATACCCTCATGTTTTTAACACACAATCTGGATGTAGTGTTAAATTTTGCTAACATAATTAACACCTGGTGGTGGCTGTAGGTTTTTTTTATTTTTGTGTGAAAATGATTACACAAAACATGTACATTGTTTAAGAAGACTTGTCTCAGGTCAGAGTTCTTTATCTTAGACTCTGTTATCTTGTTTCTTGAACATGATAGTGGCAGCAAGCATGTGTCTTTTCTTGAACTCTTTGCTGAGTAAGCGTTGCAGCTATGAGGTGCATGCAGAGAATTCCATTGTGAAAAGACAAAGGGCCTTATGGGAAATATTTTGGGAGTCATCTTGGCACCATCAGAGGACAAGGAAGACAAACAGGCAAGGTTTGGCATTAAGAGTGCTGAATCAGACAACATGGAGTTCCTGGCAACATCCTGGACTCCCTACCTTGTTCAGGGAACTTGCCGAGTCTGCATGGGGATTTGAGAGACTCATTAATAACCCAGTTTAGAGAAGGGTGTTTTTGCAGGACAGAAGGTCTTACCTAGTGTCATCTCAAAGGTCTCCGACCTGTCATAATTTCACTTCCAGACTCGAACTTCCTTTTCCATTGAAGAACTGGCCATGCATTGTGTGGAAATTCATCAAGTCTTTTCATCCTTCTTCACCGCCCTTTTACATTTTTCATTTGAAATCAGCCCTGCAAACAAACGGACCACCAAAGGCTTGACAGAGCCCCAAATGTGCCAGCCTGGTGCCCCCAGCTAAGCTTCCTTTTATTGTTCTACTAAAAAAGCAGCAATTAGAAACAGGCATTTGGGGGCGAGTAGAAAAGCAAGTGAGAACGAGACAGCGCAGGAAAAGAGAGCTAAGCGTGAAGCAGACGGTCCACAAGAAGAGAGGTTATTTTTGACCTGCCCACTAGATTCACAGCTGCGCAGAGCACTTGTCGCTCTTAAAAGATCAAATAAAACGTGTCTCTATGCATTTGCTTGTGTGTAATGTCCCTAGTAACCACAAGTGTGAAGCAGAGAAATGAGGGCGACATGAGGCCCTACAAGTAGATGGTGTCTGATGTTTCTGCAGTATATGCAGCATAAATAAACTGTGACAGACAGGAAACACAAGGTATTGCGGTAAAACTGTGTCATTTCACAGGGTTCTTTGAGAAAGCAAGCAAAATAGACGAGTGACAAATTGGGAGCATGTGGTAGATGTATCCAAACAGAGGTGCTAGACAAGTGCCCTATTTCTTTCATTGCCCCCACCCTATCTGTCTTTCCGGCATTGCTTTGTTGTTTTTAACTTCTTATCTGCGTCGTGACGTCCAGTTTTCTCTGCCTCTCTGTCAAAAGAATTTACATTTGGGTAGGGACTGGGTCATTTACTATCCATAATTAATTACTGTAATATCAGGAAATAACATCTTGGGAACTCTCAAGCATTTTTGTGCAGTACAGTGGAGCTTGAAGTGGCCCAGTCCAAGCTATTTTCAATCCCTCTGCAACAGTATTAATTGGATCAAGGCTACGAGTACAGTAACTCTTTTATCAGCTTGTCTATTTTCGTCACTTGCTGTGAAATGCAGAGAGGCGTGCCCAGGGCTACGGATTCCTCCACGTCTGGCTTCTAGCAGGTCAGACACCGCCTTTGCAGAGAATGGATCCTCTGTTGACATCCTCCCATCATCTGAAACCGTAGAGACAGGCGGAGATGGAAGGATCCTGAAGGTTGCACTGAGAAAAACCACAAGATTCGATCCCACGGTGAGATGCACAAACGGGACATTGTATGAACTGCGTTCCCAGCATGCACTGGGGCCAGGGCACCGTTGTGTATTGATGAGGGTCAGGTCTGGAGGAGTCGCTACATAGAATGGTCCTTGTCTGAAGTGTAATGTGGTGTGTCATTGGTCTAGCTAAGATTTGACCTTAGGGATGAATCAGTTGGCTTCAAAACTACTTTTGCGGCGCCCAGAGTACGATGGAAAGAGAGAGAGACAGAAAGAGTCCTGGAAATAAAGGTTCATTGTTCCTCATTTTCTCCTTGCACTTCATCTTTGCCCTTTCAATCTTTAAACAAGTTTTTATGCCTCTACCCTAAATTTCAGTTCTTGGTACCAATTTCAGTACCAGAGCAAAAACTGTGGTTATCACTGTCAATCATCGCAGTTTCTGATTCAATCATGCATTTAAATGCGGTTGACAATCCAGAAACTTTGCAGTGTACTTAGCAGCATGAAAAACTACACTTGTTTTCAGATTGTGAAAGGGTCATAAACAAAGCATGTTGTTTCAAGCATCAACAAAGATATTTCTGCACTCTCGTGAAAACTCCCGTTATAATAAAAAAAGTGGTCCTAATACAATGAATCTCTTATTGACATCGTGTTTACACTTTGGTGGTTATAATAAAAGGATTCGCCAGCGTACGGTGTGCGTTGGACAGAACAGAAACTTGTACGTTTTCAGCGGTGTTCTGACTAACTTTCTAACTTGCACCACTGATAGGCCACTCAACAGATATGATTGTTATTGGCTACTAGGGCTGTTCCGAATACCGTTTTTTGAGCTATGAAACCTCGGTAGTACCGTATATACCCGAATATAAGACGAGGTTTTTGTCCTAAAAATAGGCTGAAAAATGGGGGGTCGTCTTATATTCGAGTGGAGGAATCGATTGATAGCCTTTTTCTCCCGCGCCGTCGACTGACGAGACCGCCGAGGATCTCGATGCGGCGCGGATGCGCTTGGAAAAAAACGAGCGTGTCGCTTCCATTATGAGCGCACATACCGCGCCTACATTTGAAATAACGAACTTGAGCGCGCAAAAGACGCGATATCTGAACGGGGGTGGCGGGTCTCAGCTCGCTTGACTCCGTTCGCTCTGGCATCCTCTGTGAACGGCGCTTTTTCCTGCGTGGCTCGAGCAGAGGGAGAGAGAGAGAGAGAGAGCGGGAGCCGGATCGTCGTCGAAAACGGCCAGACGACCCCGCAGGGTGGTTAAATCCATCCCGTCGCACTCAGGGCAGCCGCAGTCATGACCAATCAGGAAGCGCATATATGCCGGTCTCCGCCGACGAGCGGACCTCTACACGAGGCACAGGTGATGAGAGGCATTTGGAACAACGCCTCGGAAATTTGCTCTTAATATTATTTTCTGTTGAAAACCAGATTTTTTTCCACAAAAATTTATTTTCCCCCCAAAATAAGTCTGGAAAATGGGAGGGTCGTCTTATATTCAGGGTCGTCTTATATTCGGGTATATACGGTAATCAACACAAAATATTTGGAGGGAGGGGGCTGAACATATTCTTCTCTCGAATAAAGGCAGGAATCTCTGTGTGTCTGTCTCTCTGTTGTCGAGAACCGGTTTTGTATTATGGTATAATACAAAATTATGGTATTTGTATTATGTTTTGTGATCTGGTCACCCGATTATCAGCGAATCACCCTTTATCGCAGGGGATTATAAACGTTTCTTTATTTGGTTCGCTTTTAATTTGTCCTACAGCGTTTTTTTTCTACTTTACCACAGTAAAAATGCGAATATAATAGGCCTGATAATTTTTTG